ATGCATCGCTGTGGTATGGAGAACGCGCGTGGTCAAGCTCCAAAATGCTGCCTTGTCTATCATCATCAGCATCCATCATCATCAGCAGCAACAGCCATCATCATCAGCCGCGATGGTCCATTACTGCTATACGTAGCCAACCGTGTTCATCAGAGGTGCGGAGGAAGGTTTTATAGTTTGGGTCATGAGCCAAACTGAAAACCGACAAAAGGCGAGCACGTTCCGACGGTTGGGTACAAATAGCACGGGCAACTAATACAGCATAGGCCACGTGCACGTTTGCAGTTTCAAGTGCGTGCACGTGCGTACACACACACACACGTGCACGGGATAGAGAAAAGATGGAATGATGCGGTATGAGAGGATGTGGAGCTGAGTGGACTTTGCCAATGACCGGTACCAGCGGTGTCAAGATCGGCCTCTGTTGAGGAGGCTCGTGATGGACGCTGCTTCTACTGGGCAGCTGGAGGCAGTCGCCCTCCAGCAACAGTGGAGGGCAGATGAGCGACGCTCACAACAACGAACGGAGCGCCGGGCGATTAAAACAGCAAGTTGGCACAGTGGGGAGCACAGTTGGTGCATCGGCAGTCAGCCCATGGCACGTGGGTCTGTCCCGTGACCTGTCAGGGGGCGTTCGACACTTCACGTGACATTAAAGTGCACCTAGCCTGGCACAAGCGCCGTGGTGACATCAACGCCACTTAATGTCAAATAGCGGTTGGTGTTCTTGGTAAGTGTGTGGGGAGTGGTGGCGTTGTGAGTACCGAAGTCCACTCCGAATCAGGCAACATACAAACCTTGATTCCGGGTCACGGCGAACATCCGTGGCGAGTGATGTCAGAACCGTTCCTGGGGCCACTACCCTAACTCTAGGTCAACTGTTGCAATATGTAAAAATATAGGTACAGGCGGCTGGGTGTGGTCCTTACTACCATACGACCCACCTCGAGCGCAGCCACGGCGTTTAATAGGTACCCGCTCACAGCACTTGCCCCAACAAGCTCATAAAGGCACACGGGGGGGGGTCTTTGTGTATAAATGTGAGTGTAAAACACTGGCCACTTAAAAACAGGTGTCCGCACGTGTGACTCTGGCGCAAAGTAGAATTGATGGGCTTTATCCGCCACGATCATAAAACCCTTCAATTAATCACAACCTATTATAGACGAGGAGGGCGGGCGGGGGGAGGAATACGTTGGGGGGGGGGGGGCAAGTGATGGTGGTTGGCGTTGGCGATGGAAGTGGTGGGGAGGGAGGGTATACGTAGAGGCGATGGCAGGTATTTCTTCATAACCCACACATGCCCCCTCCAGCCAAATCCACACACGCACCCTCCAGCCAAATCCACACACGCACCAACCCACTCGCCCACTCGCCCACTCGCCCACTCGCCCACCCACCCACCCATCCTCCACCTTCTACCACCTCCAACATCCCCACAAATCGCAAGATCTCAGCACCTCGTGTTAACGCGACGCGTAAATAGCGCGGATTTATGCCCGTCCCGGCACTCGGCCATTACCCACGCCGCTCGCTGCTGCTGCTGCAGCAACAGCAGCGAGCGGCGGCGTCGGCGGCTTCCACGCAGATTTACCACGGTGCACAGATCCGGCACCTTGATTCCGCCGAGTCAATGAAGCGTATTATTACGTTGGAACGCAGCGCCGTATTTTCACAACATTAGGCAAAGACACTCGAATTAGGCTGCATTGGCATCGTGAGAGTGCGGGAGGGGAAGGGCGGGGTGGGGGGGAGAAGAGCTGGGGGCAGCGGTGTGCACAATCCACCAGTGTTCAGAATACTAAAACTATGGCCCACCTGAGTTCAATGGCCGGCCACGGCTAACATTGGTGGCGAGTGATATCCGAACGATTTTTCCTGGACCCCTCGTTGTCACCAGCCTCCGCTACTGATATTGACCAGCGCGGTGAAGTATGGTCAAACAAACCTACAGTGCCAATGCCCTTATTGCGAAAGTTCTTCACACTGCTGTGGTCTGCTGCAAGCCGGTAAGTTATTAATTAGTATTGATCATAAGCAGCTTAGATCCTATTTAGAACCATGAAGGTCAAACAAAACCTTCCCGACATTTGCGGGCATAATCAAAACGCCGATGCATGATACAGTGTTGGGGGTTGGTGGACTGTGGATTCCACAACGTTGAATTATCTGGGGTCTTTTGCCAAGCAAATTGAATATCATGGAGGTTACATCAGCCGAAATGGGTCACACCGCGCTGATGACACTCAAGGAAGACGAAACAGCTGCAGGGATTTTCTGTTTGAATACATGCCGCAGAATATCATCGGTTTGGAAGTCTCGTAGGCTGATGGACCGTGCATTTATTTAATTGTATGTGTTGTAGTGAATCAAACCACCGGCCGATCATTTATTTAGTCGCTCTGATTAACGGCTACTTCGTTTATCCATTACTCATGTGTTCACGCGCGACCTAGTTATTTGGATACCGATTTTATCGCCGCCCAGAGACGCGATGATGGATTGAGTTAACCCGCCCACCGACAGAGACTAAAGCTCAAGAGCGACATTCCTTTTTTTAATGAGTCAATCGTTTCATCAAGAGAGGAAAATACATTAATCAATAACACTGCGTGGTCTTCAAAAATACAATGTACGATGTTTCGGGCAATGACCCTCATTCATAGCAACATGCTTGTGCACAAACTGCCGACGCAACGTCACCAAAATATGAGTTTCATGCAAGAGATAATAACACCGATGTAAGCGGATGCATTGTTGGTTCATCTGTCTATTAGATTTGCAGACCTGTGTTCGCAACACTTTGCCAATCCACTCCTGGATGAACGCCTTCCCACGCAGTGTTAGCAATGAGGGGGGATGGGAGGGGGGGGCGACCGGGGGTGTTGGCCATACTTCACCACCCTGGTTAGTGCTTGTTGGTGAAGAAGGGAGCCCAGGACCGGTTAAAATATCATCCATTACTGATGTTAGCCGTGGAAAGGAATCTAACTTAAGCTTGACCGGGTTCAGTGCGCTAACCACTGTGCCATCGCTCCACATCGACATTACGCATTCCAGCAGCATGTGCTTACACGACGCAAAATCTCAACCGATTTCTATAAACGTTAAGGATCAAACAGAGCAACAAATATCATGACAATAGATTTCGACTTTTCTGGGCTTCATCAGTTGATTCAGACTCAATAGACAAATACCGTTGGTTGGGTCCACATCAAACGGCTGTAAATCAATCAGTGAACGTTGTCCTTCCGCGGGCTCTCTGCTCTGAAGAAGCAGAATAAGAAGATGAAAAAGGGAATTTGCAGCCATAAACTTTACTGGCTACATATATACATCTACTCGAGTTGTTAGGCAGTTTTAATGAGATGTTTACCCCGTCTGTGATTAAGAACGATTTGGCCAAAAGTGCATTGAACAATGCACCTGGAACAAATATAACCCAGGGGCACGTGGCGCAAGGTCGGCGTCGCCTCGGGACTGTCCTCGCTGTCTGCGGGCAATTACGCACCTTAAATAAAATACAGCAGATACGTAAATAAAATAATAATAACAGGTAGCGTGAGTAAATTATTTATGGGAGCGCTGACAGCTCATATCTGGGGCAACGAGATTTCAAAAAATGCAAGATCAAAGCGGCGAGTGTCATTGCTGTTGTGTGTGCGGTGGTAGGAGTGGAAGCTGGTGGGGTGGTGTGGGGTGAATGGTGGTGGGGGTTGGGTGGTGGTGGGGTGGGGTGGGAGGCGGTGGTGGTTGGGGAGCTGTGGGGTGGATGGTGGGGTGGTGTATGCGGTGATAGGAGTGGAAGGTTGTGGGGTGGATGGTGGGGTGGGTGGTGGTGGTGGTGGGGTGGGAGGTGATGGTGTGGTGAGGAGTGGGGAGGCGGGAGATAGTAGATGGTGGTGTGGTGGGAGGTGGCGGGTCGTGGTGGTTAGTGGCTTTATCTTGTTTTGTTTCACCAGGTGAGAACTCAAGAGACCAAGATAAACTCATTAGCAAGAAAGGACAATGGATGGTGGTGGGTGGGAGGTGATGGAGCGGGTGGTGGTGGGGGTGTGCGGGGTGGTGGGAGCAGTGGTGACGCTTATACCACACCACTGCCGACACTGTCCATATCAACAACACCATCGCTTATACCACCCTGCACATTATTCACACCGCTGCACCACCACTCACGCGCCACACCACGACTCACGCCACAACTCACCCCCGCTCGCACCAACACTGTCAATCACGCAATAATTTACACCACCAACACCACCGTGTAGCCTCAACAGACTGTTGGGGCAAGGGCTGTTAGCGAGCACCTATGAAGACCCGCACGGTACACGAGAGGGTGGGTGGCCAACACCAAGCTCCACCGCCTTTGTCTCCCTCGTTGCGATGTTTACACACCGCACCAGGTACTCATAAGAGGCTGAGTCGACCTAGGGGAGGCGCAGGACCAGTTCAAATAATTCTCACTGGTGTTGGCCGTGAGCGGGAATCGAACTCTGGTCGCCCAGGTTCAAAGCGCAGCGCGCTAACCCACCGCTCTCATCGCAACCACCACCACCACCATTAAAATACAAAGATCCCCCGTATAGCCTTATCAGACTGTTGGGTCAAGTACTGTTAGCGAGCACCTAAGAAGACCGGCACAGCACACGAGGGGATGGGTGCCTTTATCTCCCTGGTGGCGATGTTTTCACACCGCACCAGGTATTAATTAGAGGCTGAGTCGACCTAGGGGAGGCCCGAGACCGGTTCAGATAATTGTCACCAATTATCTCGGGACGCCGGGTTCGTTTCGCAGCGCGCTAAGCGCTCCACCATCACTCCCCACACCATCAACATCAACCACCACTAAACCAACACTACCACTCACACCACAATTTAAAACCACTAAAAACCACCACTCACATCACACCACCGCCCACACAACACCACCGCCCACACCACCGCTCACATCACACCACCGCTCACACCACACCACCGCTCACACCACACCACGTTCACACCACACCACCGCTCACACCACACCACCGCTCACACCACACGACCGCTCACACCACACCACCACCGCAACACTGCGCGCTGCCAACCAGACCGATTTTGTCTCTCGACATTGTGGGAAGCATCTTCCTCTTCACGCGACTTTGATATCGTGAAAAATGTCACGAGCGTTTGCACCCTCAACCACCGTTCCACTGTTTTGTTCTCACAATTATTTCCTTTAAAATTCCAGGAGCGTGGGAATATTTTTTTAAATTAAAGTTGGGTGGCGGGTGCAGTTGGGTGATGGGCGCAATTATCCAATGATATTAGTTAATTAATGGGTCGAAATAATTAGGGTTATAATCACAATGACAATGATCCATCGGTCCGTGCTTAGTTGAGTAATTATGAAAAACTATATTTTACTAATTCAATAGCCAGCACTGTAGTATGAAGGCTAGTGTGCAATCATTTTCCTCGGTCCATGAGGGATTCTGAGTCTACGTCACTTTTTAAATCACTGTCTTAAAACTCCACCTATTGATACAGCAGGATTTCCCCCGTAACTTAACATTTAAAAACAACGTTACTGTCTGATTGGATTACTCTGTAATTGTTATTATTAGCTTGTATCGCAGTTCTTTATTTTATTGGAATTTCGAGAGTAGTCATTGATATGTTTTTAAAAATCAGCTTTCAATTTCGCTTAGAAATTGAAAGCTGATTTATTTACTTGTGTGTACAGCGCGTTGAGATACTTCAATATGGAGGCGTGTTTATAAAATAGAGATTATTATTGTTGTTATCGTTATGTTTCTTTGTCTAGGAAAGCCTCACGGAGTCTCAATACTATTTTTCTTTTTTCAGGAGGGTCCTGCCAAGTGTTTGTCGAAGTGATGGCGCGCGGTGACACCACTGCTGCTGCTACTGCTGCTGTATGATGTCCAGTCGAGTAACTTGCAGTGACACCACTGCTGCTACTGCTGCTGTATGATGCCCAGTCGAGTAACTTGTGGTGACACCACTGCTGCTGCTACTGTATGATGCCCAGTCGAGTAACTTGCGGTGACACCACTGCTGCTGCTACTGTATGATGCCCAGTCGAGTAACTTGAGGTGACACCACTGCTGCTGCTACTGTATGATGCCCAGTCGAGTAACCTGGGGTGACACCACTGCTGCTGCTACTGTATGATGCCCAGTCGAGTAACTTGAGGTGACACCACTGCTGCTGCTACTGTATGATGCCCAGTCGAGTAACTTGAGGTGACACCACTGCTGCTGCTACTGCTGCTGTATGATGCCCAGTCGATCAACTTGAGGTGACACCACTGCTGCTACTGCTGCTGTATGATGCCCAGTCGAGTAACTTGCATTGACACCACTGCTGCTACTGCTGCTGTATGATGTCCAGTCGAGTAACTTGCAGTGACACCACTGCTGCTGCTGCTACTGCTGTATGATGCCCAGTCGAGTAACTTGCGGTAACACCACTGCTGCTACTGCTGCTGTATGATGTCCAGTCGAGTAACTTGCGGTGACACCACTGCTGCTGCTACTGCTGCTGTATGATGTCCAGTCGAGTAACTTGCGGTGACACCACTGCGGCTGCTACTGCTGCTGTATGATGCCCAGTCGAGTAACTTGTGGTGACACCACTGCTGCTACTGCTGTATGATGCCCAGTCGAGTAACTTGCGGTGACACCACTGCTGCTACTGCTGTATGATGCCCAGTCGAGTAACTTGCGGTAACACCACTGCTGCTACTGCTGCTGTATGATGTCCAGTCGAGTAACTTGCGGTGACACCACTGCTGCTGCTACTGCTGTATGATGCCCAGTCGAGTAACTTGAGGTGACACCACTGCTGCTGCTACTGCTGCTGTATGATGCCCAGTTGAGTAACTTGAGGTGACACCACTGCTGCTGCTACTGCTGTATGATGCTCAGTCGATCAACTTGCGGTGACACCACTGCTGCTACTGCTGCTGTATGCTGCCCAGTCGAGTAACTTGTGGTGACACCACTGCTGCTACTGCTGTATGATGCTCAGTCGATCAACTTGCGGTGACACCACTGCTGCTACTGCTGCTGTATGATGCCCAGTCGATCAACTTGCAGTGACACCACTGCTGCTACTGCTGCTGTATGATGCCCAGTCGAGTAACTTGTGGTGACACCACTGCTGCTACTACTGCTGTATGATGCCCAGTCGAGTAACTTGTGGTGACACCTCTGCTGCTACTGCTGCTGTATGATGCCCAGTCGAGTAACCTGTGGTGACACCACTGCTGCTGCTACTGCTGCTGTATGATGCCCAGTCAGTAACTTGAGGTGACACCACTGCTGCTGCTACTGCTGCTGTATGATGCCCAGTCGAGTAACTTGTGGTGACACCACTGCTGCTACTGCTGCTGTATGATGCCCAGTCGAGTAACCTGTGGTGACACCACTGCTGCTGCTACTGTTGCTGTATGATGCCCAGTCGAGTAACTTGAGGTGACACCACTGCTGCTGCTACTGCTGCTGTATGATGCCCAGTCGAGTAACTTGCGGTGACAACACTGCTGCTAATGCTGTATGATGCCCAGTCGAGTAACTTGCAGTGACACCACTGCTGCTGCTACTGCTGTATGATGTCCAGTCGAGTAACCTGGGGTGACACCACTGCTGCTAATGCTGTATGATGCCTAGGCGAGTAACTTGCGGTGACACCACTGCTGCTGCTGCTGTATGATGCCCAGTCGAGTAACCTGTGGTGACACCACTGCTGCTGCTACTGCTGCTGTATGATGCCCAGTCGAGTAACTTTCGGTGACACCACTGCTGCTACTGCTGCTGTATGATGCCCAGGCAAGTAACTTTTGGTGACACCACTGCTGCTGCTTCTGCTGCTGTATGATGCCCAGTCGAGTAACCTGTGGTGACACCACTGCTGCTGCTACTGCTGTATGATGCCCAGTCGAGTAACTTGCGGTGTAACTGTCCAGCTTTGAGCTGTGCTCGCTGCATTGCCCATTCTTCCTTACCACCCCCCACCTCCGATTAGAGCGGTTGGCTATGTGCAGTGCAAAGGAAGCTCAAAATACACGGATACATCCGTGAACCATGATGGTTTCGACAGTTTGAACGTGGAACAAGCAAGGGCTCGACTTCACTCTCGATATCGCCCAGAGCGCTGCTATAGGCTAGCTTAGTGTGGGGATTATCGGGGTAAGGCACTACCACTACGCTTATCCACAACAATCCTCTATTAATCTGTACCCTTTGTTAATTCCTATAATCTTTAAATGAGCAAACAGGCTGATGGGTACCGTGAGATGGAGGACAGCGATCTCTCGCTGTGGTATCACTCAAACAGAGAGCCACTCTCTCCGGCTTAGCTGGACGCGGAATCGCGTGCCCTCGGCCGCGCCACGGGGCTTCCCGCGTCGCGGCGCCGATCTGTCTTGATTTATTTTCCATAATCCGTGTTGTCAACTCCTTAAATGACTTTCAGATATTGCCTTCTCATACCCCCCCCCCCAACTTCTCTATTGCTTTCCCAGCCCTCCTCCCTCCCTCTTCCCCCCGAACCCCACCGCCTCTCTCTCTCTCCCCCGAGGAAAAATGACCCTAATCACGAGAGGAAAGGATATGATCAACAGCGGTCGTGATGACTTCACGCCGGCTGAGTTTGCTCTCGCTAGTCCAGAATTCGACATTAGAGCACATTACTGTGTGCGTGTCTGTGTGCGTGTCTATGTGCGTATCTGTGTGTGTGTATGTGTTGAGAGGGGGGAGCGATAGTGTATCAGTTGGCGCGCTGCGCTACAAACTCGGCGACCCCGAGTTAAGTTTCTGCAAACGGCCACCGACACCAGTGACGAATATCTGAACCCCTGTGCTGGGCCACCCCAAGATCGACTCAGCCTTAAATGATTACCTGGTATTGTATGTAAGCATCAGCATCGGGGAGACAGGCGGCCTGGCGTGGTACTGGTCACCCACCCCTCGTGTGCCGTGCTGGCACTGATAGGTGCTGGCTAACAGTACTTGCCCCATTCGTCTGTTTAAGGCTATACGGGCGACCATTGCCTTTGTGTGTTGGGGGGAGCGGCGGTGCAGTGATTATCACACTCCGCTATGAGTTCCGGCGAACAGAGTTCGATTTCCGGCCACGGATAACATTAGTGGGGAGTAGTTCCTGAAGCGGTGCAGGACCCTCCTCTAGATCAACTCAGCCTTAATATGACTAGCTGGTAGGGTGTGTGTGTGAACATCAGCGTTGGGGAGACAAAGGCAGCCCGGCGTGATCCCTGACCACTCCACTCACTTCACCCTCGTCCCAGCATCTGGCTGCAGAGTAGCTCTCGGTCTAGTTGAGTGCATTACATCACATGCGTTTTGTTGCAATTCTAATGACAATAACACCAACATACGAATTATCATGTTGCAATTAGTCGTCCAGTTCTATCCCAACGGTGCCGTGGGTGTCATGAGATGGCGAACGCATTCCGAACTCTTCCTCAAACCAGGGCATCCACTCCGTGCTAGAGCATGGCACGCGGAAGCGGATATCACAGAACTACTTCGGAAATCTGAAGTGACTGACCTCTGTTCCGCTCCCAAGTGGTGTGGGGCATGACAGTCTGCCGTTTTGCTCTTCGTGTCCCGATCTGTAGTTTAAATAAATTAATCGCGAACCCGAAGCTAATGAACACGATCATTCTTGTGTTCGTGCAGGCATGAGCGAGAGCCAGGTTTAATCGGCTGTGGAGCCCGGGTTCGAACCTAGGTCCTCAGCGGTGCCGGCTCAGCTCTTGACATCGAAGCCACGTGGCCACCGTCTCTTGTGACTGCTTCCTCCCCTCTTGGTAATGAACCGCCCGATCGCGGGCTTGTGGCTCTGCCTTGAAGCTCAAATATATATTTAAAAAAACATTTTTACAATTTGTATTTGATCGCCTAAGGCCCATTGAGCTATGTAGCCTTTTTTTCAGAAACGACCTGGGTATCACAAATAATAAACTCAACGAAGTGGCATATCACGTGGAAATTTATAATAGCCATATACTCTAAACGCATGATACTGAATGTGAAGGGAAGACTCGGTAGGGTCCCGGAGAAATATCCACACGACCACGGCGGGAGAGACGTGCAAATTCCAAATATGCAGACGTCAGAGTCGGGATCGAACCCACGGCCTCCTGTATACCAGGCGAAGTAATTAACATCTCGCCACCGTGACGAACCGTTATCGCCATCCCTTGGTTCCTGGCTGTAGTTTATTTCGTATTAAACCTGAGAGGTTCCGTGGTGGTGGTGGTGGTGGTAGAGTTCACGGACAAACCGGGTGGCGCTGGGGTCAGAGCGGCGTTCTTCATCGCAAGACCCGCAGAGCACTGGCGGGCCCTGGCGGTCTTCAGTGCGACCCCTGACGTGCAGCGCACCCCCCCCCCCACCCCCCCCCCCCACCCCCGACAGGAAGACACATTGTGAAAACACCACCCCATCGTGCTGCCAAACGCCAGTGGTTTCAAATGCGTGGTGGCCCTCACACTGATGATGTCTTATCGGCGAAAGTGGCACCCCTCCGAAAATGTGTTTGAGGAATGATGGATCAGGTGAACGTGTGGAGGTGTTAACCACGCACTGTTCGGTAACCTGCATTGCCACCAAGTATCAAAGGGGCAGTGCAGCGTTACATCGGTGTACATAACGGTTGGGGTCAGACGAGGTGAAGTGGATCGTAGCCACAGTTTGGAGAGAACCAATCAGACAGTTCCACGTGGGAATCTGGGATTGGTTCTACCTGGCCACAAACGAGTATAAGAAGGGTGACCGCGTAGAGCTCGGGGAGTTCTCTCCCTACACAAAGACCGAAGCCCGGGCGGAAGACCAGCTAGGACCCTGGACCCAGTCTTCCAGCCCTTCTGAGGGCTAAGGCTCGGCGTATCCAGTGGTCAAGACCCACCGGGCCAGCGGTGGGTCAGATAGCCTCCCCTATGTCCCAGCCGGAGGACTCTGGGATAGGGTAGCGGTAGACGTGCAAGTCCCGCCAAGATAGGAGGCTGTAACGCCTTAGGTATCAAGGAGACCTGTGTGTAGGTTACGCTGAGTCCGGAGGCTGTACCTCCTTAGGGTATCGGGTGAGGGGACCGTATACCCCTCTGTGTGTTAAGGACTGTGTGGGAAAGGAATTACAATAAACAGTGTGCCTCATAAGAAGCGTATTCGTCTTCATAAATACTACAAACGCATCACCATCCTTAATGTTGCTGGCACAAATACCTGGGTCAGGGGTCAACTCAGCCCATCATCTTTCACCCCTCCCCCCCCCAAGGATCAGTTGAAAATGAGTACCACTTTGGAAGAGGTCGCCAGTGGTTGCGCAATTGATGGACTTGTCCCCGCCACGGGAATGTGGAATATCCACCGCAATCCAATGCATAGGCGTGCAAAGGAGGCAATCCCCGTGCCTCCCTCACGTGGAACGCCTTATTGACGTCACTGCATCGTCCATTCCCAAACTTTTAATACAAACAAATGATGATGCTGCTGCGTTGGCAGTGGTGCTCAAGAACAAATAATAAATATAATAAACACCCAATACATTCATATTCTTGGTTATTTCGGTAAAGTCACGTAGAAGGAAAACAATAAAATAAAAAATATATAACAATACAATTCTCACGACCTTTCGACGGCAACACAAGCAATCATCATCAGGTGTGAAAACCACAGCAAGAAAAATTGTAAAAAAAAGGTGTCGTAAATCTATTTATTTATTTCAAACGTTAGCACCACGGAGAGCGATTTTGCAGTTATTCAGATGAACGAGTCCATCTATGTTCGGAAAAGAGGAGGGGGGAGACGAAAATAATGGATGCGGTCTGAAAGCCACCGTAAGCGTGAATAATCAATTAAGACCCGAAATGATTTATCAAAGCCTTCCAATGATTGCTAAGCCAGATTCCATCTTCTCGGTTGAAATTGTCTCTGTGTTTGTATATGTGGATAGCCTCATGAACGAATCACTCATGGTAGCCAGATGGCTTGCAAAGAACCTCTGTCTTGGAAAAGTCAATGTCATGTGAGCCTACTGAATTATAACAATGATCTGCCAAGCCCGAGGTGTTGGTCCTACCGTGTTTAAGGTCTGCTTTGTGTTCACGAATGCGGTCCAAGACATGTCGTTTGGTTTCTCCAATGTAACTACTACCACAGAGGCAACTTAGTTTGTAGACACCAGGGTACTGTATGTCCGGAATCACATCTTTTACAGATGGAACCAGATCACAGATTTTATGTAATATGTTGAATCGGACCTGGATCTTGTGTTTATTCAAGATATTGGAGACCTTTTTTGTGATCCCCGCAATGTAGGGTAAAGTGATGGTTTTGAATGGCTCCTCAAGAGGGTCCTTCTTCATGGTTGGAGTGATAGCTTTGCGGATTGTGTAGTCGGAGTAACCATTAGCCTTCAGAGCTTGGTGTACGTGCTTGAGTTCACTGGCTATGTGTTCCTGGTTGGATATGCATTGGGCTCTATGGTGCAGAGTCTTGATGAGGGAATTCTTCTGGGATGGATGGTGGTGGGAATCCGGTTTCAGGTAAGCATCCTTATGGGTAGCTTTCCTGTAGACAGAGTGGCTCATTGAATCATCAGGTCTATTTTTTAGTAGGACATCCAAAAAAGGTAGCTTGTCATCTTTTTCGACTTCCATGGTAAATCTGATGGCTGGGTGTATGGAATTGATGTGGTCGAGGAATTGGCCTAGAGCAATCCGGCCATGTGGCCAGATGACAAAAGTGTCATCCACGTACCTCTTCCATAAGGTTGGGCGCAGAGTGGCAGTCTGGATGGCGTCAGTCTCAAATTTATCCATGAAAATGTTGGCTACAACCGGAGATAGGGGGGGAGCCCATTGGGGTGCCCTCAATTTGTTTGTAGAAAGTTCCATTCCAAGTGAAGTATGTATTGGTTAAGCAGCGTCTCACCGGGGAGGGTGCCTCACATTCGTCAATAACACTGTGGCCTTAAGGAGAACAAAAGGTACAAAGCAGTGGGCGACGTTTCGTGCGAGGAACAGACAGGCAGAGCCTCTCTGTCCCGTGAAGAAGACCCATTGCTCGAAACGTCGCCTATGAAATACATTTCCTATTGAAGGCATCTCACACACTGTCGTTGACGAATGTGTTGAGATCATTTATGTATTTAGGTTGAACTTCTTCCGCACCGTACGTAGCCAACCGTGCTAATCAAAGGTGCTGCGGCGGCGGCGGCGGGGGGAGGGATATACGAACGTTAACTTGAGTAACGTCACGACGTCGCTCCTGAAAGCCAATTGAAAGTATCTTGTCCCCCGGGCTACGAGCGCAAGCTTCAATAACAGCGCAGCCTCTCTGTAGCTCGAGGAGAGGCCGCGTCTTTCCGTAAGTAATTAATGCGCCGCATTTGAAATTCACAGCGTGAAGAAATATGAATAATGTGTTGAATGTGTTAATGTGATATTTATATGTAACTAATTCTTGTTTCCCCTCCCCTGCCCAACCGCCCTCCCTCCTCGCCCCACCTCCCTCCCTCCCTCTCTCCCACCTCCTCCCCCACGTCGCCCCTCCCGCTGCCTGCCGACCACGGATGGCATCACCGCTCTCGCGCCCCTCCACAGCCGCACAACTCAACCCGAGGCTCATTGCATCTCCGAGGTCACCGATTCCTGCTACTTAAGCCACAACTTTTGCGCCCCACTGGGTGCTCCGCCACCCCCCCCTCCCACTCCCCTCTTCCCCCCTCCCTTACCATTATCCCCTCCCTCTCTCCCCCATCCCCTGCACCCCTCGGGCCCCCAGAGATCTCATTTCGGAGTTTGTCAAATATCACTGCACTTCACTGCGCTGGGGGAGGGGTGAGTGGAGGGTGGAAGGTGGAGAGGCGGCGGGGGGGGGGGTATGGAACGCGAGGCGTGTAGTTTGCGGAGTGGGTTTGGTGAGAGAGAGGAGTAAATACTCGGGGTAGCCTCGCAGAGTCCAGTGGCTCTTTCTCAAGAGGGTTGCTGCCACATTTACAGGAAGCAGTTTGGCCAATGCCACGCACGAGAGTTTGCCTCCACGTGGCAGTGACGTGGATTACAACCCCCCCCCCTAAAATCATCGCCACTCTTGCTAAGAGGATGAGCGCCGCTCAGAGGTCCGCGTGGATGAGTTGTCAACCCAATTGCCGCTATCGCCTCACCACCTCGCAGCCAAGAGAGTTTGGGAGTTTTAGGGAGTTTGGGGTGCGGGAGGCGGTGTGGGAGGGATAGGGGGGTGGTTAGGGAAGAGTGAGGTGGGATGAAGGTGTGGGGGAAGTGAGGGGGGTAACTGCGGAATACGTAAGAGAGTTTCGATTTAAAGCTTTCGTGACTGCAATGATTCATCTTCTTTGGTTCTTTCGGTAAAGTCACGTAGAATGAGAATAAAATAATAAATTGATAAAATAAAATAACACAATAATATTCTCACGACGTTTCGGCCACACCACAAGCTGTCGCGATCTGAGCGTGGCTTTTTCACTCCAGCGCTGTCCTCCAGACAGTCTCGTCCCTTCACCTGATGAAGGCCGCTTGTGTTGTGGCCGAAACGTCGTGAGAATATTATTGTGTTATTTTATTTTATCAATTTATTATTTTATTCTCATTCTACGTGACTTTACCGAAAGAACCAAAGAAGACGTAAGAGAGTTGTTGAGTATGGAGAGATTGCACATCGGGTTGGATGTGATGCGGCTGGATTGTAGAAGGGACGCGTACCTTGTTTGACTGATACCAACGGTGGGATTGTAAGTATGTACCCGTGTTGAACTTCTTTCGCACCGTACGTAGCCAACCGTGCTAATCAGAGGTCTCCCCTCGGCCTGCCCTCTTTTGCCTGTCAAACCATTTCCCAGAGCTTTTGCCTCCAGCTGATGACGAAAGAGGCAAGGCGCCCACGAGTCTCCTCCACTCGCACCTCGGAGGTGCGGGGGAAGGACAACAAACTAGGCACAAACGAGAGGCTGCACGCAGGTGGCACGTAACGATACACTGGGATTGCCGGAGGGTAGATACACTAGTGACGTGATGCGATTGGATTGTAAGAGGGAGGAGGCTGCAGGCCAGCCACGGTGTCACGCTGGAGTTGACGTTCGAGGTGGCTCTGGCGAGGCCCCAAGGCACGCGGTACCGTCAGGAGGATTGCTGGAGGCTTTGCACATAGCCTCTACCATCACCAACACACTGAATGACTCAACACGCTGAAGGACTCGACACACTGAATGACTCTACAACATGAATGATTCGACACACTGAACGGCTGAATTCGACACACTGAACGTGAACCACAAGGTACACGATGAATACACATGAACGACTGAACCCAGGAGTCGTGCCCCCCCCCCCCATCTTTGACTAATGGTTTGTTCCACACAACTGCCCCCCCATCTTTGACTAATGGTTTGTTCCACACACCTGCCCCCCCCCCTCATATTTGATGAATGGTTTCTTCCACACACCTGCCCCCCCCTACCATCTTTGACTAATGGTTTGTTCCACACACCTGCCCCCCCATCTTTGAATAATGGTTTGTTCCACACACCTGCCCCCCCCCACATATTTGATGAATGGTTTGTTCCACAGACCTGCCCCCCCCCACCATCTTTGACTAATGGTTTGTTCCACACACTTGCCTCCTCATCTTTGACTAATGGTTTGTTCCACACACCTGCTCCCCCCCTCATATTTGATGAATGGTTTGTTCCACAGACCTGCCCCCCCCCCCACCATATTTGACTAATGGTTTGTTCCACATACTTGCCTCCTCATCTTTGATTAATGGTTTGTTCCACACACCTGCCCCATCCCCCGCCCCCACCACCTTCTACCCCCACCCCCAGCACGTGCTGTAGCGGTGTCGGGTTGAGCCCACGGACAGCGCAATTGTCGCCATCTGTTCACCGATCTGTGCTCGCATACGCCGAGCAGAGAGCGTACGCGCCCGGCGCCAATTTCTCATCATCGCATGACCATCGCCACGGCCACCACCGTCAGCGTCGCCATGACCATTTACACCGTCACAATAAGCGTAGCGCGTTACCAATGCGATCGCGATTTACCTAGACCGGTTAGCGTCTCCGTCACCAATGATGATCATTATTTTTTACCCATCATGACCATCACAATAAAGGTGCCTTCATCGCAATCATCGTAACGACATCATCCGCACCTCCGATTGGCACGGCTAGCTTACGTACAGTGCGAAAGAAGTTCAACATGTAGTGCATACATCTTCATCATAATTAACCGTGGTTAATCCACTGCTGGATGAAGGGCTACCCATACCGCCACCGCCGCCACTTCGCCGAATCCTGAAATGTAATGGTCCACCCAGCACCTTCACACGAGCTGATTTCACCGCTCCATTCCCTCCACGGACGTCGTACTCATCATTGCGTCATAATCATCATGATGAACACCACGGCGATATCGTAATGAGCATCGTCATCAACTTATCAATCGTCATCAGCGCCACCACTATCATCACGATCAGCATCTTGATCATCATCATCATCATTTTAATTAATATCGTCATTAACATCATCATCGTTACCATCGTAGAGTCTTCATCATCGTCATTGCCGTGCCGTTCGCCATATCAGTCGATCTGCCACCCACTCATCCACCAACGCATACCACTCGCCAGATGATCCACTCACTCTCTCGCTCTCCCGCTCACTCGCTCATTGACTCATCCGCTACATCACCCACTCGGTCGCTCGATCACCACGACATTTCACTCACTCACCCACTAACCCGGCCGCCCGCCTCCTATTTATATCCATTAGACGCCGGGGATCCTCACGAGTCGATCCATCACGGCTCCAGCACGAGCCGCCCGTCTCTTTGGGACCAATAAAGGCGAAGAGGGTCTCGAGGCATGGAGACACGCGTCTCATGGCGCCTCGCAGTGTCTCACCTCGTCTCATCTTGACTCACCGTGTCTCATCTTGACTCACCGTGTCTACATTGTCTCACCATGTCGCAACAATTTATGTGGGCGGACAACCTGCTGCTGTTGAGCCAAGTGACTCACACCGGGCATCATAATGTCCGTCTTCTAAGTGTCCCATGTGTGCACGAATCCGAACAAAGACAAATATCCCCGACACGTGCTCTTAGCGAGCACTTAATAAGGCTAGAAATGTGCACGTGGGGTGCTGTGGTCAGAACCCGCGCCCTGTCACCTCTCTATACCCAATGCTGTGTTTTTGTTTTAAACGACGCACCAGGTGCTCATTCAAGGCTGAGTCAGCCGAGTCAAGGGCCAATCATAGGTTCAGGAATCACTCGTGCAAGCCTTGGCTGCGAGAATCGAACTCGGGTGGCCAGGGGTTGTTAGCGCGGCGTGCCCTAAGATGCAATACGCCACAGCTCCCCATACAAACACACAAATGCAAAGATCCCCCGTGGAGCTTCAAAATATTTTTGGGGCAAGTGCTGTTAGCGAGCACCTACGAAGGCGGGCACGGAATATGGAGGGGGTGGGTGGCCAGCACCGTGCCCGGCCGCCTTTGTCTCCCCAATGGCGATGTTTACTACACACCGCTACACCAGGTACTCATTTGAGGCTGAGTCCACCGAAGGGAGGCCCAGAACTCGGGTCGCCGGCTTCATAGCGCGGCGCGCGAACTGCTACACACACACCCAGAGCAATAGGAATTATGCACCACGCATCACGCTGATGTTCAGTGCGAAACACAAAGATCGAAAGGCGGCTTTCATAAGATCTACTACTTTAATGAGACAGGAGTTCACGAAGCTTTACAGAGAGAGAGAGAGAGAAAAAAATAAATAATTAAAAAACACCCCAGGCTGGCGTAGCGGAGCACCCACCGCATAATCGCGTGCGTGATGCGAGATTGCGCACGCGAAGACTCCTTGGCACGCCGCTGTACGCGCGACACCAACGTGCGAGAGACAGCGCACGTGCGGGCAGCTCAGATCTCGTGGCTGGCGACGCACGGGAAGGCGCTGTCGCTGGAGCTTCGCTCACGCCGAGAGGTTGGAGGTGGCGGCGAGGGACTTCGAGGGTGGGTGGGGGGGGGGGGGGGGCAGCGGTTAGCGCACTTAGCTATGAAGTTTGAAACCGACCGGCGACCTTAGGCACATGAGTTCAGTTCCATGCCACGGATCAATATCAGTTTGCGAACGTTCCTGGGCCTCTCCCTTTCAAGCCTGCACTGACCATCAGTATGGTAAAGTACGGTCAAAACAAGCCACATTAGCTACACAGCATGGGGAGGCTTTCATCCAGCAGTGGATTGGGAAAAGTTTGCATATTATTGTTTAGTGATATCGACAATCGTATTCATAACAATGTCCTTCGTTTATTCAGGCAAGTCTCGCCGAGTCTCAAGGCTCTTGTCCAAGGTAGCATGTTGGTGAAACATGCTACCTTAGCAATTCTTTAATGTGTGTGTGTGTGTTGACTTCACGTGAGAAGGAATTGGAAAACCAGGAGAAAATCCACCACGTAAATTCCGCACAGATGGATTCAAGAATACACGTTTCTATTGCCACCTGCTTAAGCCAATTCACTGCGGGCACGCCGCTGACGACATCTAGTGACGACACTGCACTATCGAGGGACGCCGCGGTGGCGAGATGTTAACTACCTCGCCTGGTATACAGGAGCGTGTGGGTTCGATCCCCATCCCGACCCTGACGCCTGCTGTGTATTTGGAGTTTACGGTGTCCGATTCCCCGTGGTCACGTGGATTTTTTCTCCCGGTCATCCCATTTTTTTCGCTCAACATTCATGAAATGTTTGTTTACAGTAATTTGGCTGCTATAAATTTCTACATGATAAGCCACTTCACCGAGCTTTCATTTGTGGCCAGGTCGTTTCTGAAAAAGCGCTACACAGCTCAGTGGGCCTTACCTGGTCAAATTCAGATAGTTGAAAACATGAGCGCCACACTGCAGTGACGTCATTAAACATGTATATTTGCTCCTGAAAGTCACTTGAAAGTCTCTGTTTAAAAAAAAAATCACGAACGAAACATCGATCTCGCGGGAGCCACCCCGGGTGGGTAGCTACAAGGGAAGAGCAAATGTGCGTCGTTGGTTCCGAGTCTTCGTCGCATCACCCAACCTCGCGCCCAACATGCCGCGGCCGTTACGTTATGATCGTAGCGATGCATCGAGTCATCGTCAATGAACATCCGTCGTTCCGCTCGCGATACATCCGTCGGTTCTCAAACGTTGTAACCCGTGAACGGCAGCACCGCAGGCGGGGGAGTAGAGTCGAGGATGTAGCTATTGCCTGGCGAGATGAGAAAAGAGGGTGAGAGGAATGGAAGATGCCGGGGGCGGAAGTCCCCAAGACGGATAAAGAGGAGGACACGGCTCAAGACGAGGAGCAGCAGGAAGAGAGAAATGAGCGGCGGTGCAGGAAGGGGAGGAGGAGAAGGAATGACCGGGTGGACGCGATGTCATGGATGAAGAGGGTGATGATGGCGATGATGAGAGGGAAGGAGAGAGAGAGTGAGAAGCGAGACGGAGCGGTGTCTGTTTTCACAGGAGGTGGGCAGAGGGGAGTTTGGGGTGAAGAGGGGAATCCTGAAGTGGATGGTGGGCAGGGGGGGGGGGGGTGTGGAGCCTGGACTTTTGAATAGGGAGATGGGATCCGCGTGGACAACGAGGGAGGAGGAAGCCCTCGATGACAAACAATGCCGATCATTACCCAGGAAAGCCTCACTTAGACTCAAGACTTTCGGAAGAGTCCTGCTACATTTGGGATGTTTAGCCATCGAGTGTCTGTGGGTCACGCCAAGGGTTTGTGGAATGGAGCTGTCGACGAGGGCAGTTTACTTCGCAGAGAAATGCATACATAGGGGTGGACATTCAAATAACAACAATATTATTACGAGCAAAATATAAGTGTGAATATCAAACGTAACGTATTTGCATATAAAAACAAAAACAAATCATGAGCAGCACAGAAGATGCGGATACGTGGCACGGATCCCCAACAATCAAACGAGAGCGATGATTATTTTAAACTGTACACGTGTATGTACGGCTATGTACACATCGTACACTACTATATACACGCGTCATGTATAAAAAGCAAATGGCAATAATATAGGAAAAAGGAATTAATCGATCAGGGTCATATCCTGGCGTTCGCTGTACAATTACATTTTACGACAATCAACTTCTTCTCATTGAGATATGAACAACATTTGCCTTGCGTGGTATGCGCGCGTGCGTGTGGGGAGCGGTAGTGTAGCAGTCAGCGCGCTGCGCACAGGCCAGCTGAGTTTGACTCCCGCTCACGGAAAACACCGGTGACGATGATTACCTAAGCCGGTCCTGAGCCTCCCCTAGGTCGATTCAGCCTCAAAATGAACACCGGATGGTGCGGTGTGTAGTAAACATCGCCATGCGGGAGACAAAGGCGGCCGGGCGTGGTGCCGGCCACCAACCCACTAATTTGCCGTGCCGGCCTTCATAGGTGCTCGCTAACAGCATTTGCCCCAACATTCCGTTCAGGCTATACGGGGGTTCTTTGTCTTGTATGTGCGTGAGCGTGTTGCGTGCGCATTACGCGTTTGCTATGCGTATGTCAACTGCTGTCCTGGGAAACTTTGCAATCGAGACGATCCATCTGCAAGGGAATATTCAGGTGGAATATTCTAATACCAAAAAAAACGTGTCCGTATAACAACACATCTTCAGCGACAAGAGTTAGGACAACGAAATTAAAAGCTGCACACATCCGAGACGATATTTACGGAAAGTGCCATTTTTGGGGGCATTTTAAAAACTCCTTTAAAGTTTTTGTTTCTCTGTATATCTCTATAAACCTGACCCTCTCATGCACCACGTCCACTGTGGTGGACCGGCTTTGATTTATATGACCGCTTTGCAATTGAGTTGCCACATCGCGTCTCGTCAGTTGAAGGCCGCGCAGCAAATACGGGGACCCCACCTGTCCCATTCGCACGTGTTTGGGGTTTTGTTTTCTCCTGATGCTCCGGGTTCCTCCCCCACGCGTACACGCGCATTATAATAGGCTTGAGATCATCTTTATGCATCAGGGACTGCAGAGCTTGGGGGGATTGTTGGCGCCGCCTCACCGCGTGTCCGCGGTTGCTCCTCGCGCCTTCCAAATCGTTGTCTGCATTCGAGAGTGAGTGAGCCCTGCCCGGCGCGCTACAAGTTGACATCGTTATCATTCATGATTTTCAACACATCTCTGGTGAGAGGGAGGAGGGGGGAGGGAAATCCCTTTGAATCATAAATTAACTTTAAACTCCCAAAAATAAATAAATCGGGGTTTGCTTCGAATCGTTATTCATGCATGAGAGGGTTAGGGCGGGCACTGGTGGAGAACATTCATCCCCAAAGCCCTAAGGTTGACGGAGCCGCCATGCTCCTTTGGTTCACAACGAGCTCCTCTCGGGTTGGACCGTGGAGGTGTTCATGTCGATGTCCAGCTGTGTCCTCACGAACCGTCACGCAAACCGCGGCCACCCTCCCAGCATCAGCGGCGGCGGCTTCTGGCTCGGCCATCGAACACAAACGGCGGTCACCGCATCGCGCGGCGCTTTCAGACGCTCTTCTGCTGCCGTCTGGAACGCTCTCTCTTCCGATATTGGGAAGCCGCTGGACCTATGCACTTTTAAATCTACGTTAAAAAACTTACTTCTTTCGAACTGCTTTTTGTGTTCAATTTATTGTCCTTCCCCCCGCATCTCCCATCTAGCATGGTTGGCTACTTAGGGTGCGAAAGAAGTTCAACATACTGTACATACATACACCTTCCACCAACCGACTGAGATAATTTTTACGAGGGCAAATATGCCAATTGACTGGGTTTATCAGGGAGGAATGTTGAAACGCAGGCGATATTTTTACACGTTTATAACCGACGATTCACTGGAGATGACTGGTTTCTCGCGTTGGTTTACGCGGTCCTAATAGTGGCGGTAGTAGTAGTAGTGGCGGTAGTAGTAGTAGATGCGATCCAAAAAACAGGGGGCGCAAAAAGTGGAACCGCACGAGGGACCAGCGGCCTACCCGAGTAGCACACAACGTTGTCCCACAGTACACAACGTTGTCTCACAGTACACAACGTAGTCTCACAGTACACAACGTCGTCCCACAGTACACAACGTAGTCTCACAGTACACAACGTTGTCCCACAGTACACAACGTTGTCTCACAGTACACAACGTAGTCCCACAGTACACAACGTTGTCCCACAGTACACAACGTCGTCCCACAGTACACAACGTAGTCCCACAGTACACAACGTTGTCTCACAGTACACAACGTCGTCCCACAGTACACAACGTTGTCCCACAGTACACAACGTCGTCCCACAGTACACAACGTTGTCTCACAGTACACAACGTCGTCCCACAGTACACAACGTTGTCTCACAGTACACAACGTAGTCCCACAGTACACAACGTAGTCCCACAGTACACAACGTAGTCCCACAGTACACAACGTAGTCCCACAGTACACAACGTAGTCCCACAGTACACAACGTCGTCCCACAGTACACAACCGCATAGCCTCATGTGGAGTTAATTCAAACCGCGCAATGTCACGAATTTTGGGTCGAGATAGGTCAACCGCATATGCAGAGCGCGAAATCGCACAAATCGCACCCGCATGGAGCGAGGGGAAACCTGTGCGTGAAGCATCGTCCAGCGTAGCATTTCACTTTGTTCAAATGCCTCGCGATCAATTGGACCCATATTTATTTAATCTTTTTTTTTTAAAGAAGACGAGCTGAGAAGCGGAATTTCGGAGACATCGGGAATGTGAATCTGTGGTTGCCGAGTCTCTCAGCAGTGTCAGTGTCGGCGATGCAAGGCGTTAAGGAGCTAAGGGTGAGCGAGGGAGGTTTACCGAGTACAAAATACCAACCATGTCACGACGCGCCACTCATTTAATGCTGAGTCGACCTCAGAGTAGCGCAGGACGGGTTCCGATATTAATTGCTCCTGACGTTAGCCGTGGCCCGGAATTTACACTCAGGGGGCCAGGCGCAGATCGCGAAAGTTGCGCTCACCACTCCGCCACTCCTCCCCACAGAGACACACAAAGACAAAGATTCCCCCTTATAGCCTTAACAGGCTTTTGGGATAAGTGCTGTTAGCGAGCACCTGCGAAAGAGAGACTGAGAAAGATGCACACGTACATGTTGACACACGCGCACACAACGGTACAGAATGACTCGTTATTACTAGCTGAGTCATTATGATTATTGTATTGTGAACAATGCACTGCACTGCGATGCGTCTCTTGGTGCTCTCTCCAAGACGAGCCACGTGGTGGATCGTTGGGCGCGCAGCGTTTGAGCCGGACAGGGGAGCCGAACTCGGACGCCGGTGCTTTGGCGTTTTTCCGCTAAAGTAGCCCGGAGGGAGAAACAAAAAAATCGCCAAACCATCGCTTTTTTTTGCCGATTCAACGCGCACGCCGCCGACGCCCGTTCCACCAAAAAAAAAATCCCGCTAGAAATTCAGCTGCCATCTCGGCGTGACTTTGGCGCTGGGAGGTCGGCAAACAGCCAACCTGGCCACCGTCGCGAGCGCTAAAGCTCTCCTCCTCCTCGTTCTCATGAAAACCACACGCGCGACAAAGACGCTCGCTCGCTCACTCACTCGCAAACGAGACGCCAGTCCGTGGTTTGCTGGAATGATTAACGGGCGCTTCTCTTTCCTTGGCAGAGTCCCCCCCGCCCCCCGCCGGCCGGGCCCCCACCACCATGCCCCCCACATCAACCCCCCACCCCACCACACCCTCCGCCCCCCTTCTCCTTTGTGGCAATTTACGCAGAGGTTTGTTTCTTCCAGGCATGTCGGAATTTAAGAATACCCGCTACATCAATTTCGTGCTAAGCATGAAAAAAAAATAGCGCGCATTTGACTTAAAAAATTCATTAAAACGAAATGTCACGTATTTCATGGCGGGAGAGAGAAAGAGAGAAAAAAAAAACGTGCATTGGGCCGGCTAACCTCCGAGATCTATTAGGCTGCTCGAGTCAATTGTGGAGTCAGTGTAATTTGTTTGCTTGCATAATTTTTTAATGCGCCCGCCAGCTACTTAACCAAAAATCTCGTAGGCGAGGAGGGGAGTGTGGCTCCTTCTCGCAACGCCCCCCCCCCCCCCACCTCCAACAAGGCTCCCATCTAATGAGGGTCTCGCTGCATGGACGGTGATGCATTATTCACCATGGTGGATGGGTAGACGGGGGTGGAGGGGGATTGCAGGAGAATGTGCTCCTAGGAAAGTTGAACTCGCACGGAGGAGCTGGGTACGGTGTTGAACGAACATCGCCACTGCTACTGACTGGAACTGTGCAGCCCAGCCAACCAGCCAGGCAGGCAGGCAGCTAGTCATTCTACCAGCCAGACACAAAAGCAGCTTCCCAACCAGTCAGCTGCCTAGCCAGATAGCCACCCAGCCAAACATTCAACCAGATACCCAGCCAGGCAGCCACCCAGCCAGACAGCCACTCAGCCAGCCAGCCGCCCTCTCTGACAGGCATCCACCGGCCAGCAAGTTAGCCAGCCATCCGTCACTCAGCCTGTCAAGTCAGACTGCCCTCTCAGAGTATCCACACTGCCAACACACCCACACGTACGACCCCCCCCCCCCTTTTCCGAACAATCAAGGAAAGCTGCGCCAAGAGGGAGGAGGAGAGGAGGAGGAATATTGCTTTTTTCTGCCCCGTCTCAAAAGTGTCCCCCTGAGCTCATCGGGCCAACCCGTCCTCTCACAGCAGAAAAGAGACGGCCCCCCCCCCCCCCTCGCACTCCCGTGGAAAGGGGGAGGGGGGTAGCGGCTCTTCCCATCGCCACAAGATCCCCTGTCCCCTCTCCGAACTGCCGCCAGAGAACATCTTGCAGGCAAATCATGACTCCATTCATTATCTCACCGGCTTAACCTTTCCGCGCCGCCGGTAGTCAGGGCGCGTAAGGCAAAACCAATTTTCACTTAACGTGAGAGTTGCTTGTGGGGTGGGCGGGGGGAGGGGGAGTTACGGTTGGCGACGCTGGGTGCTGTGACACTTTGAGATTCGTCCCGCACCGCACGCTCTTATTGCTCTCACTCAATGAGGCCACGGCGATTCCATCGCGCGCCGCATTTCACGGCACCGTTCGGCTTTTCATCTTTCCTCCGCAACCCATTTTACTTCCTGGGCCGTGTCGTGGGGGCCCGTCCCTCTATCGACGAATTAATTATCTTCTTTAGTAAACGTTTCCCTTTATTCAAATATTTATTTTTCACTCCCTCCGTCTGAATCGGCTCGCTTAGTTTATTGCTGTTTCTGTGACGCTCGCAAGGAGCGCGATCGAGCTGGAGCGCTGAGCGTGCCCTCAGGCGCGGTGGCCCACAAACTCCACGAGAAGCAGGGAGAGGCGCGGCCCGTCGATCGATCGCGTTTGTCACTTACTGTAGACATAAGACAACAACACCGTCCGCACAGCACTCAGAGTCCACGCGGAGAAGATCATGTTTTGTTTCGCTTCTCTCCGGCTCCTGTCTTCATTGCGGTGCCGGGGGGTAAGAGGCGTGAACGATTAACAAAGCCGTGGCCTCCACTCAAACTCTACCGATGAAAATGTTGTTCTGTTCGTGTAAAAAAAAAGAAAAACGCTGGTGCGGAGAGAGCGCCGCGGCAAGGGGGAGAGATCAACGCCGGCCGCCGTCACCGCCAACACGGCCGTCACGGCCAACACGGCCGTCACGGCCAACACGGCCGTCACGGCCAACACGGCCGTCACGGCCAACACGGCCGTCACGGCCAACACGGCCGTCACGGCCAACACGGCCGTCACGGCCAACACGGCCGTCACGGCCAACACGGCCGTCACGGCCATTATGGCCGCATGCTCAGCGGCGACGAGCCACCGTTCCGCTGGTTTCCGACACCGATCCAGGCTCCGGCAATGGGGGTAAGGGGGCTGGCGGGGGGCCGGGCTGGCGTCTAAATGGAACAACAGTTGGTTTTTCCCTTGCGTCAATAAAAGTTCCAATGTGGATAAGCGCCGCAACGGTTTACTCCTTCCCGCCAATCAACCATTCGGCGTAACCATCCCGGCGGTGTCCTCGCTTCCCGCCCAACCGGTTTCTACCGCGGGCAAAAAATCCGCACCCCGTCGACGGTTCCCTCTCCCACGCCGATCGTCGTCCCGTTCCCGTACGGACGGGAGGGGGCGAGCGAGCGGCCGGGCGAGCGGTCGCCACCGATCCCTCTTGGGGGGCGGTGCGGCACAGGGATGGGGGGCGACGGCCGGGGTAGGGGAGGAGGGTGGTGGTGGTGGTGGGGGGTGGGTGGCGGCGGTGGACGGGCGGCTCAGGGCCAGTCGAAGGTGCGCCCGAGCAGGCGGAAGAGGCGGCGGTTGGGCTCGCGGAAGAATCGGCGCAGGCGCTCGAGGAGAGCGCCGTCGACGCGTGGGTGCGGCCGCCCCTTGGAGTCGTCGAGGCAGCGGCGGCGGCGCGCGTCGCGCAGGCAGAAGAAGCCGCGCGTCGCATTGAAGTAGAAGTTGCCGGCCGAGATGCGCGGCTCGAGCCCCAGGAAGCGCTCGACGCGGCCCAGCTCGGCGAGCGGCTCGCGGATCAGCCGGTCGCCGTCCACCACGTGCAGGCGCTCGCGCGGGAAGTGGCGCAGCCAGTTCTCCATGTGGTCTGAGCAGTGGCAGGGCCGGCGAATGCCATGGGGATTGGAGGAGGGGGGTCGCAGGGTAACGGATATGATTGTCGTCGTCGTCGTCGTCGTCATCGTCATCATCAACAGTGTCGTCTTTGCTCATCATCATCGTCATCATTTGTTTCGACCGACCAAAGCAGGATATGAAATGTGTCATCGTCCCGCACCTGCTTAGGTCGGTAGGCTATGTACGGTGCGAAAGAAGTTCAACAAACGTATATTATCACTGACATCACCACTGCCACCACCAATATCCATATCTCATCATTGTGACGATCATCACCGTCGTCATGGTTGTCGTCACGATAGTGGTGGTGGAGGCGGTGCGGCTGTGACGGCCTCTCACCTGCGTAGAGGCTGCGGTTCACCGCCTTGTAGTCGGGCCGCAGCCGCCCCGTGCTGCGGCTCAGCAGGAAGTCCCGGAGTGGGGGGCACTCGCGCCCCCGCTCGGCGCGATTGTAGAAAACCTGCGCAATGCACGCACCCGGCACAACGCACGCACCCTGGTCACCTGGCACAACGTACACACGCACCCTGGTCACCTGGCACAACGCACGCACCCTGGTAACCTGGCACAACGCACGCACGTGCCCTGGTCACCCAGCACAAGGCACGCACGTGCCCTGGTCACCTGGCACAACGCACGCACGTGCCCTGGTCACCCGGCACAACGCACGCACGTGCCCTGGTCACCCAGCACAAGGCACGCACGTGCCCTGGTCACCTGGCACAACGCACGCACGTGCCCTGGTCACCCAGCACAACGCACGCACGTGCCCTGGTCACCTGGCACAATGCACGCACGCACCCTGGTCACCCAACACAACGCACGCACGTGCCCTGGTCACCCGGCACAAGGCACGCACGTGCCCTGGTCACCCGGCACAAGGCACGCACGTGCGGTGGACACCATGGGGCTTGAGTTCTCTCGCTCAGTATGTATGTCTCATATGTTGAACTTCTGTAGCACTGTCTGTCGCCAATTGTATGTTCTGGGTCGCAGGTATATACATCGGATATAGGTGGCATGTGACTCGTACCCAAGGCTATGCTGCATGCGGTGTGTCGGGTGAAGAAGTATGTTCCAAAATAAGAAATATATCAACGATTGTTGTCCGAGCAGAGACGCAAGGGCCAAAAGTGGCAAATGGCCAGCACCACTGACGGTGTAACAGGTAAGCGCGAACGCGTTTTAGAACTCCGTAAATGGAGGCGATGCGAGGAGCGAGTATACTGGGCGTGGTGTGCCGGGTGAGTGGCTGCCGGCACCGTGCGAGCGAGCGAGGGAACGATGAGCCGACCTGCGTGTAGTCGGAGAGGATGCGCTCCACGGGGTCGCGCAGGATGAGCAGGAGGCGCAACGCGGAGACGTTCCCTCCGGACGGCGCGTGGTAGCCCGCCATGCGCGCCGCCACCTTCCAGCATGGTGGGAGACAGATGACGGGGAAGAGAGACAGAATTGGACAACGAGATAGATGGACAGAGATGGGAGTTGGACACAGAGACGGACGGAGATGAGTCGGAGACAGAGATGGAGAGCGAGACATACAGATGGAGACAGAGAGATTAGACAGATGGACACACAGACAATCGCACTCAGACCATACAACTGGCAATTGAGGCTCCATGTCTCTGCCTCACGAGAGCCCCCGTTTTCAACAGCACAAACGACAGACCTCTCTGCGCCTAATACCCCCCTCCCCGCACCAAACGCCTCCCCCTAGTAGAGTAAAACTCGGTCCACCAGGCCAGGGAACCGATCTCATCCCGATGCTCGTCGAAGGGGGGGGGGGGGGGGGGGCGCGAGGAGGGAGGGGGCGGAAGCACCTGCGGCGCAGTGAAGTAGGCGGGCGTCTTCTCCACGGTGACCTGGTCGGGCCGGGAGGGCGGCATCTGCTGGCGGTACCACTCGAGGCCACGGGCGAAGTTCTCGTCGCGGTTGAAGAAGTGGAGCTCCGTCTCCGCCGTCACGACCGCCGGGTTGAGGCTCAGCATCTCGAGCAGCGCGCGCGTCCCGCCTGCAGCGTCAGATAAAGATGATCATACTTATGACACGGTAATGATAATAAACAAACTAACAGCGCCAGCGAAGATAGCCAGAACAGGCTGCAATCGTGGTCGTGGTCCGCCCTCAAACGTATACGCACAATCTATGGCAGATGCGGATACCTGATGCACTGATGGAAAATTCTCCAATGTGCGACCGTGGTGTTGGCCACCCACCCCCTCGTGTGCCATACCGGCCTTCATAGGTGCTGCTACTCGCTAACAGCACTTGCCCCGACAGTGTGTTAAGGATATACGGGGGATCTTTGTCTTTTGGGGCCCAGGGCTCAGGTGCGGTCGACTCAGGCGTCCGCCCGCCCACGCAATGTGGCCGTAGGGACGCAGTCTCTAATGCTCAATAGCGGCGTAAACGTTTCGTTTATATAGAAAACCCCAACGCATTCGCCAATAACACTGTGCCCTGAGCACACGAGTTATGAATAATGGCCATTTTTTCTTCTTAAGGCCACGGTCTTATTGACGAATGTGCTGAGTGTCTGTTACTTGTGCGTCTGCACCAAAGGGACTGCAGCAGAAACAGCACCACCAACTAATATCTTCAGTTTGTATATCGCGTCGTCGTGGTCGATAACGCGATCGGCATCTCCCACGATCGCCGAGGAACCACACACAAAGCCGGAGAGCAGCAGCCCGGCGTTGAGGAGCCGACGCTAAAGTACCAACAACTGCTCAAGCTCTGCGGTCCTCCACACTCAGATGTTCTCAGCAAATGAAGGAGAGTGTTAATACGTGCGGGAGGAAAACGCGGAGCACCCGGGGAAATAACCTCCGCGACCCGCAACGGGCCTGGCTAGGCCGTCGTCCAGCAGTGGATCGACCTGCGACGGTTTTGCGCGCGTCCGAGTGCGTAGCGCGTGTACCCTTGCGGACGCCGATGATGATGGTTTGCGGCAGGCGGCGGCTGAGGCTCGGGTCGTCTTGCAGACGCTTCCTCCTTCTGCGCGAGCCCTTGCCGTGGCCGCGACGCTGCTTGGTCGCAGCCGAATCCTGTTGCTCTTGCTGCCGAGTCATCTTGGTGTCCGCCGAGGTCTCATCGCGCTGCTGGTAGCGGTCGTCATCGTCGTCGTGGTGGTGGTGGTGGTGCTGGAAATATTGGAGATCGTCGAGGAGCTGATGTTGCTGCTCTCCTGTCGAGCCGGCAGCTGCTTCTGCTGCTGGCGATGACGATGATGTCGTCGACGACGACGTGGATGATAACGACGGCGGCTGTGCCGACAGCGTTGGGGCAGAGCCGCCGGGGCAGTCGGGGGGGCAGGCGGGCGCAGACGCCGGCAGCCACAGTGACAGGAAGGGCAGCAGCACGGGCAGCAGCAGCAGCAGCGGGGATGGCGGAGGCGTCATCTCGGATTCGCCGTCACGCGCGGGCGATTCGTCTCGCGGGCCGCGCCCTGCTGATGAGGCTCGGTGAAGTCGATGCCGGCGCAGGGCTTTCCTTGCTCAAGCGAACGCGGCTGGGACGCATTGGTCCTGAAGGCTCCAGAGTCTGAGATTGATGTCTCCGGGCGTCTGAGGGAGGCTGCTCCCCGTCGCCAGCAGCCCACGGCTTCGCGGTGCTGATGAGCCTGAAGGAGGCAAAGATGCGGTCACCTCATCCCTTCCTGCTCCGTGACGCAAGCCTGCACTCGTCGCACAGACGGCCAGCGCGGAACGATCAATAGGTTCGTCGATTGAGGCCGATTGACATCGATTATTAAGCTCAAGGTACACGCGTCATCGAATTCTGCGCGCGCAATGATGTATCGTTTATTGTTGATGCAAACAATATGCGAATGACCTTACGTGTAAGCTAATGGAGCGAACAAAAAACTATGAACGAGATTGAAAATAATGAAACAATACAAATGAGACGGTACACACGAGACAAATACGAACTGGATCTTGTAACAAGTTGCGATCCTGGATTGTGACAGATTCGTCAACCGGCGTGGCTGCAGGTAAATCATTTCGCGGGCCTCCATCTGTGACACTGGCCGTCTCCAACGAGACATTTTTTCTCCAAATAATCTAAAACCAAACGTGACGTTTAAAATCGGTAACGACGACGATCCGTTCATTCATCCAATAAGTCCTGCCACACTGGGACGTTTTGGCCAAATCCCATTAACGGGGGCGGGGGGAGAGCAGAGTGGGAGCGGGGGGGGGGGGGGGGGCTTTGGCTGCGCGTGGCGAGGTAACCGGAGACCCCCGGAGAACGACCCCACACACACACACACCCACGCTCGCGCGCTCACGATGTGGGTCACGTTTCCTGGTTCGGGCGGCTGTTGTTATTATTATTGTTATTTACGACGTGTGTTTTTGATGCTCGTTTCATCGTCCCAACGGACGGCTGTCGGTTTTTTTTTCTTTTTTAACAAGCTCGCTCACTTTCACAATGTGAACAAACCAATGGGAGCCCGTCAATAAGTAAACCTGCTCCTTTCTTCCTCCTCCTCCTCCTCCTGCTCCTCATCCTCCTCCTGCCGTTGGCGGCGATGGGCACAGACCGCAAGCGCCACAACGCTCGTTCCCATCGCTCGGCCCCTCCGCTCGGACTCGACGGAGCTCCGCACTCCGAAAGGTTCCGGGCGACCCCAGGGAGCCTTTTGGCCGTGAAGTGGAAGCGGTGCGGATGGGAAAAAATAATATAGATGGGGAGGTGCAGGTTTGGGTTGGGAAGGCAACTGGACGGTGTCTGACAAAACCAATGCGGAGTGATTTCTTGATCACACCAGCGTCGAAAGCATCGGCCCTCGTCTCCTGTCGAAGGCGCCATAGCCAGTGGTGGAAACAAACCCCCCTCTACATTGATGCGTGAATGGTGCTCCAGATTTGAGAGCAGGCTTGATGTTGACTATCGGTGCCGGAAAGATGTGGCCACTACGGGAGCAGATTGGCGCAAGAGAGAGCGGAAAGCGGAAACAGACGACGAAATGTGCAGCGGACACGTACGGGGCTATCTTTCCCATGGATCGTGATGATGATTTTGATGACGATGTTGCCCATCATCGTTTGTAATTCGCCGTTCAATACCGTCTGAACGGCTGCTTCGAAGGTTGAAGCTGCCGATTGTTGCTGCTGTTGAGGTGGATTGTCCTCTTCAAATTGTTTCGCTGTTATGTTTTCAACGTTTCAATTGTTCTGTATTATGTTGTTCTGTATTATGTTAGCCTCCCCCCCACCCTCCACCCCCGGGTGAACCTTGAGAAAAAATCCTTTTCAGCTCAATGCTCCAAACGCCGGGTGACCAAAAATAAACCAAACATTCTTCTTGCGGGTGCGAGTCTATCCATACAATAACCACTTTTGACCTATCTACAAAGTGGTATTCACTTTATCGACCCCCCCCCCCCCGAGGGAAGATGGGCTCGGTTAACCCCCAACGAGGATGCGAACTCGCAACCCACCGATTCCAAGCCGCTCTCTCCGCTATTCCCAACCGCGCTGCAGCTGCGAGGTGGCCAGGAGAAGGCGGTACGTCGAGCGGCGCTCACGATCGCATCAGCGTGGAACTCCCGCGTGTTAGTTCCTCGCGCGTGCGGCGGATTATCTCCGGGGTCTCCGCTTCCCTGACTCCCACCTGCAAGCGCGAACCAATCGGGAAGAAGGATTGGGGGTCAAACGTCCCAGCGCTGAGACCCGGTGTGAGACGTTCGGGCGGGGGGGGGGGGTAACCGCGCATTTTACTCCCGCTGACGATCACGCCGTTTAACTGCCGGTGAGCGATCATCATCAGCATCATCATCAGCATCATCATCATCAGCAGCAGCATCATCATCAGCAGCAGCAGCAGCAGCATCATCATCATCATCAGCAGCATCATCATCATCAGCAGCAGCAGCAGCAGCATCATCATCATCATCAACAGCAGCAGCATTATCATCATCATCAGCAGCAGCAGCAGCAGCATCATCATCAGCAGCAGCATCATTATCATCAGCAGCAGAGCCAGTGCGGGTGAATCCGAACTCTTCCAGTGCCCACGTGGCCACGTGCTGACACTGCGTGTGACGGACCCGTTGGATCGCACGATTCCCGACGGGCTCTGTGTGCGTGGCCCGCTGCGACATTGACTCCCTCTCGCATGTTCGCCTCCTGCCACGAGGCGTTTGATTCGGGGCGGGGGGGGGGGTCGTTTGCCGAACGTTCCTCACGGTCGCTGTAGGCTCGTTTCAAGTTCGTGTCAGTGAGAGCGTGAGAGCGACGCGCGAGGAGGAAGGAGAGGTGGAGAGGGGGGGGGGAATGAATTCACAGGAACGAGCCGTGCCCCCAACTACACACACACACCGTGCATCCAAGATACACACAATTATAAAAAGACAACAATCCCCCTTAGAGATTGAACAACCGATTGGGGCAAGCGCTGTTAGAGAGCACTTATGAAGGCCGGCACTGCACACTAAGAGCTGGATGACCAGCATCACGCTAGGGTGTCTTTCTCCCTCGTAGCGATGTTTACACATCGCACCAGGTACTCATTTGAGGCTGAGTCGACCTAGGGGAGGTCCAGGACCAGTTCATATAATCATCACTGGTGTTGGCCGTAAGCTGGAATCGAATTCAGGTCGCCAGGTTCGCAGCGCCGTGCGCTAACCACTGCACTACCGCTCAAACACACACACGTGTACGCACACGTATACGCACACGTGTTAAAGCGCACACTCCTGCGTTAGAACACGAGCGCATGGGCGCTGGAGCGCGCACGAAGACAGAACTAACGAATCCCCATAACAACAACTAAACGTTAGGCTCCCTTACCAGGCTGGCTTTGCCGGCTCGTTATTTCTCGATTAAACCTCCCGGTTGCTGGAGACTGCTGAACGACTCATGTTAATCGCGACATCACAGCTGCCCCCAGGGTCGCACGCGACAGTCACGAGGTCACACCGCGCGCGGGCAAATCCGCGGGGAGCCAGGCTCCACATTGCATTGTCTTTGATCAGAGGTCTCTGTGGAACCCAAAGGTCCTGTTTCATCCCTTCCCACGGGAGATGCGGTTTCACCCCCACCCCTCCCCCGCCTCCCCACATCGTCCCCTGACCACCCCTCCCCCTCTAACATTCTAAACTAAACTATTTTTTTTTCATTTCACCAGTAAAATTAAATAATTCACGGGGTAGTGTATCCCAGTGTGCTGCTCAAAAAAACAATGTTGGGATAGCTTATCATCATCATCATCGTCATAACCAGCCATGATCTATCTACAGCTGGGTGAATGTCGAGCGAAGCCATCCGCCATCTCTCATGGTTCTGCGATGTAGCAACGCATCTGATGTCCGCCTGCCAATGAGCTGATGTCATCGCTCCATCTCTGCCGTGGACGTGCCCCTCTACGCGTTGTAACTCCTTGGCTGCCACCTTCGACTTTCGTATGTATGTATGTATGCTGAACTTCTTTCGGACCGTGCGTAACAAACCGTGCCGATCGGAGGTGCGGGGGAAGGACCACGAAGCTCTTGACTACCAGCCAATCATCCCGTCCCGCGAAGACGCGGCCTACCCAAAGCCCACGCACCGTTCTTATCGGTCACAATGCGGCTCATCATGACCAGATCAGACGCACGCAGAGAGAGTGGGAAGGACGCTGACAAGGCACCCGTGAATTCCTTGGTTCGAATCCGTGTTTTATCCACCTTTCTAGAGAGGCTGCCAAATGAATGCTGTATGCAGTTTTGGAATTTTGACAAGGACGGTTTTACAATTAGTGAGCAATGTTTGTCTCCTCGAATAAAAGCTTTAAAAGGATGTGTAAACTTGCTGACAAATTGCTACTCATCGTCTGAGAGCAGAAATCTGTAAACGTGTCACATACAGAGGCGCTCATTTGTCAAACGCATTAAAATACCAAAGCTTTTAAACTGTCTTGACTCTGGTGAATTATAATAGTTGCCTACTCGTACAGAATATGACTCGGCGCATTTGATGTTAAATGTGCGTTTTATATTTGATGTTTCAATATAACAAAAAGTTTGACTAAATTATTTAAAACGTGTCTATTTTTTTTAAAAAGACTCGTCGGGGTTTCATAATAATAAAAAAACACTGTGGTGTGTAAAGTGTGACCCTCGACTACAAGCCAGACAGCCTTTCTGCTGTGAAGAAGTGCCTTTGTTCGAAACGTGAACTTGGTACATACGTGTCTATTTTATAAAGCAATATTTTTACGTACTTTTAGATATTTCCTCCGTATAATAGAAAAAAATAGATCATCCGGAATAATTGGAATATTTATACTGGAGGAATCCAATGAGCTATAAAGATCCTTTTCACAGATGTCCCGTAAGGGTGGGTCCGAACGTTACAACAACAAACAATACAAAAACAGGGCATTGTTGCAGAGTATAGGAAAGGTAAACAAATCACTTAATATATATATACAGATAAAATATGAAATAAATTATTTCTATTTTACCAGGTAAAGCCCACTGAGCTATTAACTTAATTTTCAGAAGCGACCTGGCCACAAATGATAGCTCAATAAAGTGACTTATCATGTGGAAATGCACAGCAGCAAAATCATCTGAAGGCGTGTTTCTAAATGTCCGGTAGTAGGAAGAGGTGGACGCGTGGGATTGCGCTCAGAAGCAGAAACGCACGTATTTGAGAACATAAGCTAGTGAGGGACATCATGACGAGGACCGTTAAGAAAACAAAGTGGGGCCTGGGCACGACGCGCCATCACGGCCAGACGGGACGATGGCCTGTGGGTAGAGACGAGCGACGGAGCGGCAGCCAAAGGAGGGGAACGCGTCCGAGAGAACGTTCCATTGTGCAGATGGAGCGATCGATATCAGCTGGTCTGCACGTGCTAGACGGATTATAACATCGCAGGACTTGCGAGAGATGACGACGCATTGGGGAGGCCTTCATCCAGCAGTGGATGGATCACGACTGCTGCTTTTGCTGATGATTATGATGATGATTATGACGTCTCGAGACACTGATTCACGTGGGTCTTGCATGGGGGTATAGCGGGTCAGTTGAGTGTGGGACGACACCAGAGTAGAATGCACGGTTGGCTCCGTGCGAGTGCGAAAGAAGTTCAACTTACAAATATGTAAAGGTGCAGCCCTGAAAGTGCTCGCTCAGGCCACCACTGGCAGGATGTCGTCCACCAGAGGGAGCTCGGAAGAGACACTCGAGCGGAGCTTTTTTGGCCTCCTTTTCCAGGCTGACCAGAAAGTCTCGGCAGGAACCAGGATAACCCCCCCGGAGAGAAAAAAAAAAACCCCACCACGCATACACACACACGGAGGCTCGGGGGAGGCCTTGATGCAGCAGTGGATAAATCACGACCGCCGATTAGCGCAGTCCACTCTCGGTGGGCTTCGTGGCTGGGGCGGGCCGGACAGATGTTTGTCTCGCGTGCGTCTTTGTCGTCCTCGGCTAAACGCGACTTCATTAAAAGCCACCAGCGTCTTTGCCGCTCCGTGCGCGCGCCCCGTGTCCTTTCCCCTGCCCGTGTGGCGCTAACTCACGAATTGAGCTTTAACGGCGCCCCCCCCCACCACCACTCCCCTTCCCCCCCCCAAGGCCAAAACGCGAGCGGCGTCGCTCGAAGCGGAACAGACGCGGAGCGGTTTTCCCGCCGCGATAGAGGCAGCGTTTGTGACCCCCGTGAAACGGCAATAAGAATGATAATGAAAGACGCAATAATGCGCTTTTAAAAGTTAAGGCGTAAATATGTGAACGGTACAGACGCACAAACAAACAAAAAAGATAAAGGTCCTCCTGTATAGCCTTAAACGACTGTTGGGGCAAGTGCTGTTAGCGAGCGCCTAGGAAGGCTGGCACAGCACACGAGGGGGAGGGGGGGTGTCCAGCCCTCCGCATCGCCGCTTTTGTCTCCCCAGTGATGAAGTTTACACACCGCACCAGACACTCATTGGAGGCTGAGTCGGCCTAGGCTAAGCCGAGGACTGGTACAGATAATAGTCACTGGTGTTGGCCGTGAGCGGGAATCGAACTCGCTTCACCGAATTCGTAGTGTAGCGCGCAAACCGCTACGCTCCCACACACACACACGCACATAGAGATGTAAATAGTTAAATGCCTACACAGTTATATACGTACACGCATTCACACAAAAGTATCCTTCGGACAACGATCCTCCTCCCCATAGCCTTAACGGACTGTGACGGCAAGCCAGTGCTGTTAGCGAGTAACTATGTAGACCAATATCCTGGTAGGGGCTTGATTCCAACCCATCATCCAACTTCAACGGGGGTCAGTAACATCGGTAGCGCTTTGTGGCGGCGTCATCAGTGGTTTCGTCCAACGGTTAGCCTCACCCCTACCATAGGAATGTGGAATTTCCACCACTGGCTCGAGGGCTGTAAAGAGCGGACGAGCACGGGTGCCTCAATGTTCGATTGAGCGCGAAACGACTAAAGAGTGCTGGAGAGGGCAATAGAGATGGGCATTGATGGATGTACCTACGTAGCCAACCGTGATAATCGGAGGGTGCGGGGGAAGGACAACAGACTAAACACAAACGGCAGTTCTTAAGAAATGAGTTTTCAATGTAGATGATTTAAAAGTGCGTAGCTCCAGTGGCTTCCGAATATCGGAAGGAAGAGC